CGAGATCTGTCAGATTCCAAACCATTCTTTTGCCACAGTGCCAGGCAGCCTTGTATAATGAGTGTGTGATGGAAGAATGAAAAGGAGTTCATGGAGTGGCCATTCCACTGTTCTTTCCACTACTTCACTGGGTGAATGACTAATAAGCAAACACTCCCAGAGGGTATTTGCATTTAAAAGGAGCTCATTAACCCTAATGAATCTCTAATTGGTGGAATTTGTGGAGGAGATATTCCAGAGCACTGGGGTTTCCCCCTGTGTCTTCAAGGTGCTTGGCTATCCTTTTCTCTCTCCTCTGTGGATTACCAACTGTTCTGGCACCAGAAGTGTGTGGTAGCAGCAGCGTCATGCTGGTCTGCCCCAAATGGAACTGAATGGATGAACAGGGAGCTGTGGAAAGAATCATCTGAGGAAGTGTGAGTTAGTATTGCATACAATGAATATGCAAAAGCTAAGTGACAAATTTGGCAATGTCGAGGGTCTTCTGAAGGGTCAAGTAAAAATATATTTCATAATCATTTTTAACTTTGGAAATGTTATATCAGCAGTTTCCATTGTGAGTTCATAGACCCCTGCAAGATGTTTAATAGGTATTAGGTGAATAAAATGGCTTCACAGCCAAATATATTGTGAAACACATTTTCAACTGTCTTTACTAAAGAATTTCTCAGAGCCTTAAATATGTTAAAGTAATAGGAAATCAACTAAAATGGAACCCTTCTGAAGGTTTTCCTCATACTTCTGACCATAGAAATATTTTTCCCAGGTGCGCTCCTTGAAACTAGTGTTTCGTAGACTGTATTCTCAAATATTGAGTTCTAGATAATTCTTCTCTAACCAAAGAAAAGAAAGAAAATGGTTTTTCTGTGTTCACAACTTTTCACGTGGGCAGGCCCCAACACTGTCCACACCAGCCCAGTCTTCACGTCCTCTTAGTCTCTAGGGCTTTCCAATACTAATACACCTCTTTCCCAGTTCAGATCTGGCCAGTTTGGGGGGAAAAATAAAACAGATGAAGACCAAATTCTCATCTTTATTGCCTGTAAAGCTGGTATTGAAGAATGGTGGCTTCTATCAAGAAGCAAAGAGGTTTCCTAATCTGAACCCCAGAATTAGATTGAGCTCCATTCTGGGGCAGGCTTCCCCAAGCAGGGGTGGTCCCTGTGGAGAGTCACAGCAGAGAGAGCCACGTGTTCTCTGTGGTCCTCCAGTTCTCAGGGGAAGGGGCAAGGGAAGGGGCAGGACCACGGCAGCAAAGTCCTCCCAAATCACCAACTCCTGGACTGAAGTAGGGGGAGGCCTGGGGTGGGCGTTGCCAGACCTTCCTCCTGATGAGTGTGGATGCTCCCTCCCCCACCCACTCCCGCCCCCCTCACCCAAACGAGTCTCCTCTGGGTGTCCCAGATGGCATTTGGGTTCCCTTCTCATACTGGGGGTTTCTCTCCTTTCCATCTTCCTTCATCCCTAGTCCTCCCTCTTCACCATTCTCTCCTCCCTCAACCCAATTCCCCCAGTAGAAGGGGATCATGGTGATAGTCTAGTGACTGTCTCTTTTTGTTTCCTTATACATTTTCAACATAATTCAGTTCTTTATCTGAAAAAGTGGAGTGCACATATTCTCCAAAACAGGGATCAGAAATTGCAGCATGGCAGTGGTCTTTGTAAATAAAATTTTATTGGGACACAGCCTGACTCATTGGTTTCTGTATTGTCTGTGGTTACTTTCAACTACTACAATGGTTGAGTCTAGAAGCTGCAACCAAGACAATGTGGCCCACAGCACCTAAAATGTTTATTACCTAGCCTGGCACAGAAAAAAACTTGCCAACCCCTAATCTAAAATATAGACGAATTTCATTTCAGTTCTTTAAGTCCTTCCTGGAAAAGCTTTATTACTATGTACATGTAGCCTTCATCGTTGACACCCTCTAAATAAAAACGACATCTTAAACCAAGAAAATTGCATGTTGTATTATAAGAGGGATTTCACCTCTTATGAAATTGTTTCTCTCCTTACAAACTTCTGGAAAGGTATCTAGAGGATTGACTGTGTGTTTGCTTTGAGGGACCTGAAGGCTTGCCCTGGTTGGAAGTATTTGTCATCATTGGTGCAAAGGGATGAGATTAGATAATCTGTGGGGCCTATGAAAGAGAAAGGGAATAGAGAAGTGTCTGTGGGCCCGGCGGGGGTGGGGCCCGCACCAGATCCTTTCTTCAGAGTGGGAGCCCTGGGCTCCTCTTCACACCCTCTTCCCTGATTCGGAGACTTGATTCCACCCACTTCACCCCCATTCCTTAGAACCTTCCACAGAATCCCCAGAGATGTCAGGAGACCAGGTTCTGCTCCTCTGAGACTGTCCTCTACCTGGGAGACCTTGGGCATGTCTCTGAGTGCTCTGGCCCTTAGGGGTCACTTACCTGTAAACTGGGGTTGCGGGGAGGGTGGTGTTCTACTGCATCATAGTGAGAATTTGGTGTAATGGTGTTGAAAAGAGGCTTTATGAAATGTAAAGTACTGTGAAAATGTTGGGTTGTTTTTGTTCTTTTTAAACAGCTGATTTGCAAATGAAATTTTTAATTCATCCAGCATGTAAATTATAGTGAACTGACATTTGAAAACTGAAGTACCGTGTTCCACATTTGTCACATGCATCTTTATTTATTGTTAAAAGTATGCATCACAGCACGGTGATTGCTGGGGGAAAGGGTGTACAAAGGGACTCAATGGTAATGAAAAAATACAACAAAGATTTTTAAAAAGTACCTAATGTTCATGTGGGTTATAAAAAAATGGATAAAATAACTGAATTTCTACCATAACAGAATAATTTGTCAGTGGGAGGAAAACAACTTCAAAAATTATATTTCTTTGTGACTTTTTCCTGTTGGCTGTATAGTTTTCATTTTGTGCCTTTGTTTATAGAGAATAATCCTGCAGATGGCATTTTTCCTTGTAATCAGTTATTGTCCTATCTGAGTCATCGCCAGACACGGCATTTCAGTAAATAGTGCTTCTATAATCGCTTCCAGGCAGATGTCTTGTGTGATGTCGGGGGCACTGGTTGATCATCTTTCTGGTTATTCAGGCCGTGGGGAGAAACAGGGAAGGTTTCATAGAGTTGTACACCATGAAATCAGGAAATGGCAAAGGAAACACAGTGCTTTTAGCCAAATGATTTTAAATACAGTATTTGCATGGCTATAGGATGGAGCAGTAATCATTTTAAAAGTTAAAAAAATCTTTCTTGAGTTTTTTTTTCAATCTAAAAGGCAAGAAGTCTTTCATTTTGGGTGATACACTTTTTCTGTAAGCATCAGGCATGGGAGTTATTAAACGCACTCTGACCTCACTGTACAGGGACGTGTGGCGTCACTTGGCCGTTGGTGCTGCTGTGGTCTCCGCCTGTCATCGAGGAAACTAAAGTCATTGGTCATTGGTTTTTACCAAACTTACTAATTCAGCTATTATTATTATTTTTTAATATTTTATTTATTTATCTTTAGAGGGGAAAGGAAGGAGAGAGGGAGAGAAACATCAATGTATGGTTGCCTTTCATGGGTCCCCTGCTGGGAACTGTCCTGCAGGGAACCAGCCTGCAACCCCAGTATGTGCCCTGACTGGGAATCGAACCGCGATTGTCTGGTTCACAGGCCCACGCTCAATCCACTGAGCTATACCAGCCAGGGCTTTAATTCAGCTATTATTTATTAAACACCTTTTATGGGCCGGATCCCACCTAGCTATTATGTTATGCAGAACTGAGAACAGATCTTATAGGCTGGAATATGTATTGATGTGGTTGGATTTTAAACATTTTTGAGGTGTTCCTTTATCTTAAGTAAAATAACTCTTAAGTAAATAAACCACCAATTTAATTCTTGCTTCAAAATTTAACATAATTTTAGAATTTAACATAATTTCATTTAATCGTTTTAAAGTTTCATGAGGTTCTTCTTTGATTATAGCCCTGGGTAAACTCAATTTCTGTATTTCATATGGAGAAGTTAACCTCAGACTTCCTTACTTTCAAACTTTATCTCCAACCCAAGACTTGGGACCTGCCTCCTGTGAGCAAATCCCTGACCTTCGCTGTCGTCTGGGTCATCGTCCGTGCGTTCCCCAGTGTACCCTGTTGTGGACATTCCTGGGCTGGCTCGGTTTTACAGGAAGAGCAGTTTACAGATCACTAAGTTGGCCTCTCATTATCCTTTAAAGAAATAGGCTAATTGTTTCTTTACTTACCATGTGTTCATCACAGCTCATTAGTGATAATTAATAAATAAAAATAGGCCATTAATGATTAGATTATGCTTATACTTACCTGTGTTTGTGTGTGTCGCACCCTTGGAGCAGGCCCAGGCACCAACTTCATTTAGTGACACAGCTCCCCCAGGCACCAGCCTTAGGGTCAGAGTGTAACTGAAGGCCAGTTTGTGAATTGCTGCTCTTTCCAGCTGTAAAGACTGTTCCACATTTGGTTAACTATTACCCTCAAATATATATCTACTTGGAGACAAATCCACAGATATACAAACCTTATACAGAGTCATTCTTATTAAAAGAACTAATTTTGAGGACATATTATTCATATTATAAAGACATAAAGTTATTCATATTATAAAGACTTAATTTGAAACCGATTTGCCTTATATTTTCGAAGCTGTAAGCATTATTAGTTTATTTGAAATATGACTTGGTTTACAAAAGGTGAATTCACATCGTTCTTCCAGTATAAACCTTTATAAAACAGGATGCATTTCTGGCTCGGGCTGTATATGAGTGTGTGTGTGTGTGTGTGTGTGTATGTATTTATGGATGGTTTCTGAGACCTCAATAAAACTGCTATTCTTAAAAATTCACTTACTGTGTAACACAGGAAAGAGGAGTTGATTCCATAATGTGAAACATAATATCAAAAGATATTTCAAAGAAATAGAAGACAATTTGGCCTCAGTGATGCGGTAAAGTTTTCTATTTATTCTGTTCTTTTGCCTTTTAGGAGATACAGCAAATGAGCAAAGAGCAGCAGCAAGGGGTACAACTTCGGAAGCAGAAGGCAGTCCGCCGGTGAGTGAAACTCCACAGAGTCCTTTCTGGGTGAATGGAACATGTCCTGAGGGTTACGTACTTCTCTGAGAATGAACAGTGACTCTGCTCTTGCTGTGTGGCTGGGGTCTAGGCAGCAGGAACCAGGTGCTCTGCTCAAGGTCAAGGGGTGCAGTACAGGGCGTGGCTTCCTAAGTGCTGAGCTCTTCCTTCTGCTGGAATGGAAGCTTTCTGTTGGAAAAAGAGAAATAGAACACTCAAGTTAAACCATTTGAAATGTTTGTAGTTGAGTGGTTATTTTCTAATACATTTGAAGACATTGAAAATATATGAACCTGTACGGGAAGCTTTGAGAATAATCTATTCAGACTATATTACATTACCATTTCCAGCATCAAAATGCAGCTCAACATGACTGAGTAGAGAGACTAGGGTGTTTGTTCTTTTCCGCATGAAAAACCTATTTGCCCTTTGAGGGCACTTGAAAATGGCATTAGGACACTTTCATATACTATGTAGAAGTGAACATTGATTAATTGCTGAAATAATTTTTTTAAGACTTAGGGGGGATATTAATTCTTGGGGTAGAAGGGATACCTATATATTTTGAAACTTTCTACACAGTGACACACCTTTCCTCACAATTCTACACAATTCTACTGTAGCACATGAAGGCATCACTGTGTACACCAGTGGGGTCAGGGACCCAGCTGATTTGGTTCATCTTTGTACCCCTAAAGCCTGGCACAGAGTAGGGAGTCAGAAATGGGTTGAATGAATGATGTTTGTAATATGTATTTGAAGAAGAGCCTAACTTTTATATTCAGATTTCCCATAATGAATGATTATTTTATAATTAAGAAAAACTTATTTTAAGAAGTGATATAGGAGCACATTAATGTAGAGGAAGAAAAGCATCATTTTTCCTATAAAATCGGATTCGTTCTTCATTCACACGTGCGACACACTTTATTAAGCTCTGACTGTACTCAGGGTGCTGTGAAAGGCACTGAGTCTCTAGTGGTGAAAAAAAGACACAAGGACAAAGAAATATGTTCAGTCTATGCACTGAAGCAACTTGATCTCTTTCATTTATTCAAACATTTAGTGAGTGATGACCATGAATGGCATCTTTCATGGGAAATAAATGTTGATGTATTTGAAGTCTGGCAAAGAGCCACCAGAATGGGTTAGAAATCATCCATGATTATTGAGTTTAATTGCTTAGTTATGGGATTCACTGGAAATGTTTGTGATACTCGATCATTTTTCAAAGTTGATTCATTGATGGAAAAAGTTATAAGATTAATAATTCTTAAGAAGCTTTTGAGATTATGATCCTCCCATATTTCAAACTAGCTCATTGTTGTGCTGTTTTATAGCCTCTCTGTTACATACAACCAGTTCTCAAAAAGTGGATTTATATATTCATGCTGTAACAGATATTTCAGAAGTGCCTCCTATTTAAATAGCACTGGACATTCAGAGGGTAGTGTTATCAGGAGAGCTTACTTATGTAGTGAAAAGGAAACAGGGAGACTGCAAATGAGACCACAGGGTTAATTCCAGCACAAGAACATAGTAAAATACGTTTAGAGGCTATGTATGATTCAACACTGAAAAGCCAAACAGTCATGTACCTCAACCTTACGTGTCTCGAATGGAATGCATTATTCCTCTGCTTCAAAGATCCCAAAACAAAAATATTGCTGCATGTTCCCCAGCTACCCCCCAACCCCATAGTCTCCCTTGATCGGTCAAGGTGAGATGTATCCAGCCTCATGGTTTAAAATTTCTGCAGAGGCTGATGGCTCCCAAAGTGTGTCTCCACCTAGACCCATGCCCTGCGCTCTGCACCACATCCCAGTACCTACTTGCAGTTTCACTTACAAGTGTCCAGACGGTTCAGCCTTTATATGACTAAGGAAGAACTATTGATACTTGGCCGTGCCCGCTGCAGCTTGTCTCTGCTTAATGTTCCTCTCTGTTGAGTGTCACCATCCTCTCCATAGTGGTTTAGGATAAGAACCGCTGAGGCTCCTCGCTTTCCTCACACTCCACACTCAGCCCAGCAGTAGGTCCTGTTGCCTCTCCCCCTGTGCCCAGAACCTGACCCTGTCTCAACACTGGCATTGCTCCAACCCAAGTCTAAGCTACCACTTTCTCCAGGACTCTCTGCCTTCATTCTTCCTCCTCGAGTCCATTCTCCACACGGCAGAAAGGAATATAAATGAGATCACATCATTCCTTGACTTAAAATCTGCTGGCTGAGCTGCTAACAGTGAGCTTCAAGGAGCTCCATGTGCTGTGCAGTCTCATCTTTCTCTCCACACTTCAAACGCCATCCCCATCCCAGGCACCCTTCTGTCCCTCCGTCACATTAAGCTGGTTCCCATCTCGGCCTCTGCATCTGCTGCCCCTTCTGCACCACGGCTTCATTTGGCCGCCTTCTTGTTACCCAGGTCCTAGTTCAGGTCCCAGTTTCCATGACTGACTTCTCTCCATCATGTTTATCTCCATCCCAGCTTACTCATTGTTTTCTGTCTGTCTCCCCTGATGAGAATGACAACAGACCTTGTGTGCCTCGAATGGTGTCTGCTACGTAGAAGGTGCTCGATAAACACATGTTAACTGACAATCTAGGTTTCATTTCATGTCATCATCTGTCTGCCAGGTTCAAGGCCTGAAATTACTACTTAGGCTCCTTCTCCTCACCCTCTTCATCAAATCTATCAGCAAGTCCTACTGATGCTCCCTCTCGAATATCTTCCAAATCTGGTTCCTCATCCTCCGACTAGGTCATTGAGGACGAGGGACCTCATCTGTTCACCAGACTGTTATTCGACAAGCAGTTTCTTTCCCAGATCTCTTTCTAAAAATGAACAGCACGTTTTGTTACTTCAGGCCCCTCAAATGTCTCGAAATCTGCAGAATAAAGCTTAAGCCCCACACCCTATTCAAATGTCCCCTCCTTTGTGAGCTCTTTTCTCCCTACCAGCCAGAGAGAACCACGAAGTGCTGTTACCACTTGCGTTGTCTCGAAGGTGGAGAGCCACCTTCGTTAGCTTCAGAACCTCGGTCACTGACAAACTGTCACACACAAGGTGTGACAGTAATGCCATCATTGATTTCTGGGTGATAAGTAGATAAACAAGCAGTCCTCTGCAGACGCTGTTTTGTGAGTAGATCTCTTCATTCAGTTCTATTTTTCACCTTATATTATAAATACACAATTATTTTTTCCCTCTATAAAAAATAATTCTCTTTCTTAGGAGTTACCCATTAAAAATCTGTTACTTTATATTATTTTAGCACTCTGACAATATTAGCAAGGAAAAGCATAATGATTTCAGTTAGTTTTTTAACAAGATATACATTTGATTAAGAAGTAATTCTTGTACTTAGTAGGAAAGATTCTCATTTTATTTTTAGTGGCTACACAAAACATGTTCAAATATAATTTATAATGAGAAGTATCTGGTAAATTAGTATAGATTTCATAAGGATTAAAAATAACATTCTTAGTTGTCAAAATATAACTCATTTTTCTAAGGCCCTTTGGAGAGGTGAATTTTAGTATGATAGAATAAGTTTTTTTCTTGGACAATTCATATGAACATGTGGATTGCCTGCTATTTTCAGGGAGTCATTGGACATGGGATGCACAGGGTATGGAGATACATAAGGCTCTGTGATTTCCACTTAGGGAAGCAGGAATTTTCAGTCCATTCCTGGATAATTAGAAAACTCCACAAGTTACTGTAGTATAAAGTGGATAAATACATTCATTAAACTTCATAACTACAAAAAATCTGAGATTTCAACAGAAGAAGAAATAACATTAGAGAGAGTCAAGAAGGGCTTCATGCATTGTGATTTGAATCATGAAAAAATTTTCTTACTATTTTTACAATCCACTTTTACGTTACTAAGATAGATTTTGTGAAATGAAATTCTTCATTACAGACATTTTAGAAATACAGAAGCATGTGTATCATGGCATGAAAATTGCTTCCACTCATGAATCTCAGTGACAGATAATAAAAGGTTAAAAAGCAAATGTAATATGTCTGTGTTATACTATAGTTGATTTTTAAATGGCAGTTAAAATATTTTGTTAAGTGGGCTCCACCAGTTCTTCCTTTGCAGCCCAAGCGTATCCGAGAACTGGGTTCCCTCCCTGGGTGCAGTTCTCTCGCCGACATCAAGGAAGTCTAACATCTAGGTGGAATAGAGTTTGGAAAAAGGAGAACTAGTTTGGGCATCAAATACTTTAATTTTTATAGAGTTAGATTATGAAACATTTTAATACATTTACATGAAGTACTGTGAACAACAGCATATTTATTTACATTGAGTAATTAGTGGGACTTTTTACTTTGTATAAAGAAAAATAATACAGCGTTCATTCCAGAAAAGCATAATTTCTCAGTATGTTTTTCTCTTCATCCACCTCTGCAGAGTCTCTCTCAATGGTGACTTAAGTTAGGGCACCACTGTTTTTCCCATGGTGTGCCCTGTACCTGCTCCCAAAGCATCACCACCTAAAATAGGATAACTTAAGGAAACGCTGAACTAATACGGTTTCTCTCATTGTGCTTTAGTCTAATTTTGAGAGCTATTGGTAACTTTTAACAAAATTCACCATGTTTTTGGTGTGTAGAGAGTGTAAGCTCCCCACCCACGTTGGGGCTTATTATAATTAGTCATTAGACTCTAGTACTTGGAGGAAAAAAGTTATAATTTGTAACTAATTATCCAATTGGAGGACAGGCCACCTCATTCTGTGTTTTTCTTTCTTCCTGGTTGCTTTTCTGGGTGAGTTTTGGTAGTGAGTTTGCTCGGTGCCCTTGGCTAGCCCAGGGGCCTGCGACACTCGGCTCTGGGGAGATGAACCCGCAGATTCACGGGAGGCCTGGTTTCAGTTTTTGCCATTAGGACTCATCTCTCCAGGGAATAAACATTATAAGTAAGCAAGTAATTAGTCATTCTTTTCTAATCCTCAGCCGTGGAAAGTGCTT